GGTTAACTCCGGAGAGGCAGAGCCAACCAGAGCTGCGATTAACTGAGATGGGTCATTCTGAGAAAAGCGAAAATCAAGAGCTTTATTCCACTCCTCGCTGTTCTCCTTACAGATCACTCGAGCTGATGGAGAAATTGCACTTTATTCCCTGGTAGGAATAGCCGCAGTATTTCATTAAGCCTCTTCGGCTGCATCCTTCCTAGGTCCTCTAGGCAACCTGAAATGTTCTTCCAAAGAAACATATGTTGTTTGAATTCTGAAAAGACATAGGGTCAGGTTCTCTGCTGGGGTCATTGGCAGTCCATCCTAATCAATGGAAATGTTCCATTTTACACAAGAAGAGAATTGGGCATATCCCATATAACCCTCTTCTTCTGCATGTCTCGGGGAGCACTGGGAATCTGGAGAAACTGAGGGTTGGCCTGAATGGTGGGGCTAGATCATGCCAAAAACACCATACTGAATGGAACAGTGCGAAGCGGAGAGAGACACACTAGCTCAGAAGAGGCTATATGCCTGGAGCCCCGTCTTTAAGGCGATAGATAGCCAGCCTTGTGAACTACTTGGCATTCAAGCAATTGTGCTGGCTGAAGACTAGCCTCTTTAAAAAAGACCGTTCTCAGGCAAAGGCAGTGGCAGCTCTTAAGGGACAGAACCAAACTGCAGGCAACTGGGACACTCAGTTCACTGGGATTTGATAACTCGGGCTTTGCCACGGGTGATTGTTTCAGGTGATTCATTTCAGAGGGTGTATTTGTCAGTGTTCCCTTCTCTGACATGCGGCTGAGGACTCATGGATGTAATACATTTCCACCCACTTGCCCCTTTTTTCTGTCAGTCTGACTTTCCCACATGGGGCAGAGGTGGCCGGCTGGTACCTTTGAAATACCGAAGTGGATGGTTCCCTGTGAGGTTCTCTCTTTGGCCTTGCAGTTTGCTCACTGAATCCACCATCCAGGTCATTTTGCTTCTCTGCTTATTTCTCTCGCTACATCTCGAGGCAGCAGGGAGGTGGGAGGGATCAGCTGTTGAGTCCTGTTGTGATCTGAGGCTTGGGCACCTTTGGCAGCTTGTGAAAACAATGTCACAGGTGTGAAAAGCACGTCACCGCTAAGGGACCGGATTTCTCAGTGCCACCAGGTCCCCTTCACACCACTCTGGCAGCACAAAGGCACCTTCAAATGGGCGTAAATTACAGCTCCACTCAGTTTACGTCCCCTTTCCAATGCCAGAGCCTTGGAATAAATGAGAACCAGGCCCTGGGTATTTATAGTGATACAGATTCAAGCTGGGATTTTCAAAGCATCCAGCTCCCCAAAATCCATCCCTGCGAACAGGAGTGAGTTGTGTCTTCCCACCCCCACCCCGGAAATCAGTGGGAGTGCTTCCGGGGGCATCAAGCTGGAGCAACGGGCACAAGTAACCAGCAGAAAACAAAATATTGACTTGCTGCTCATTAGTGAGCCTCCTCCATTCTGTGCGCTGACTGAGGCAGGGATCCTGAGGGAAAAACAGTCAGTGATCATGGAACTAAAGACAGTGTTCATGTAATTGCGGACGGTATTATAAAAGGGGGCCAAATTAAACCAACCACGCTTATCACACGTACCACAGGTTGACAATTGCTGCTGTGTATTACAGTTATTCATGCCACGGTCTATTCTAGTGATCCATTGTGATGCATTCTCTGTAAAGATTGGCTGCATCTGGATCTGGATTTCAGTGCGCTAAGCTACAGGGGTGCACTGATATTGAGGTGTTTGCTCAACCCATCAGCAAGACAGGGGTCATTTGCAAACCGTGAATCCAATCCCACGTTTGATTTTTAACCTCCTCAGAGATCAAGAGTGGCTAAATCCAGGGTTTTGGTTTCGGCCTGTTGTGCACTTGAGTTCTCTAGAGCTTTGTAGGCGTTAATCTGTGCCAGAAGCAAGACATTTGAGATGCACTTTCTCCATTGCCCGTGACAGGTGGCAAACCTGACAGTGATGGGGTGAGCTCTTGCGTGCATGAAAGGACTTATGGGTCAGTGAAGTCCCATTGGCCTAAATGAGGCAACATCTGGAATTATGAGTAATTTGTTGGCTGGAGTGTGACAGCAGGGGGGTCTCTTTGCCCATCGCAAGTGAACAGGGCAGCGATCAACAGGATCCCTCGAAAGAGACGGTATTTTGGAAGATACTGGCGGTACATAAAAGCTCTACAGTGCACAGACTATGGGATCTAGCCCATAGTTGGGTTTTATTTATATACTGCCTTGTTCAAGTATGGATAGATAGATACTTACATGGTTTCCATGGCAATCTTTGCTCAAACTCCATTACAAAGCCCCATGACTGCATGTAGGGCACAATTCTGCTTCTGCTGATAATCAGTGGGAGCTGGGCACCTAACTCATATAGACTCCTTTGAAAATCCCATCCTATAATGGGGGAAGGCTCAGACTAGATGAAGCCTGGAGTCCCAGGAGCCTGGCCAGGGCTCAGGCCCTGTTGTACACAAGAGGCCAAACCCTTTTCCCAGCCCCCAACCCAATGTATCCACCTGGGCGGTCAGGAATTCCCCTGGGGAGGAATGCATGGGCTGATCCACAGCCACTGCTCCCCTCCAGGTGTCCCCTCTTCCATAAAGGCCTTAAAGTGGATGTAAGTTACAGTTATACCCACATTAAGGGCCCTTTGCACTGGAAGGGTGGCCCAGTGGTTAGGGAACTAGCCTAGGCCCTAGGATCAAGTTCCTACTCTAGCACATACTTTCTCTGTGACCTTGGGCAAGCCACTCCCTCGCTCTGTGCCTCAGTTTCCCCATCTATACCATGAGGATAATAGCACCGCCCTGCCCCACAGAGGGCTGTGAGGATAAATACATTAGAATCTATGATAATGGGGGTCATATAGGTGCATAAGTATGGTGGATGCTGCATAGAGGGACCATAGTATAAATGCAAATCAGCCCTGAAAATGCATTCTCTTCTGAAGGGGTTGCATAAACACACTGTGTGTGGAAGCAGCTGATGAGCTGGGCTAGCAGTCCATGTCCACCATTAATTGTCTGGGTTCCAGGCTGCTGTACCCTGTGCTCTGAAGTTTTGTGCTTTGATGGTTTTTTCTTGTTCACCTCTTCGTGATAGGTGAGGCCCAGCAACAGGGGAAGTGGCTTCTTTGCCATATCAGAAACCTGGGACTGGCTCCTGAATCAGCTGTCGTGGCTGCTGTAATAATGCAGCCAGGTTAAAAATAGCAAGTGCTAATCTTTATCCTCCAGAACTTTTGTTGTGCCATCTTTCGAAAGGCACTGAGCGCTAATGTGATTGCATCTGCTAATCTAGAGACACACGCCCACTCGCTTCCAGACGCTCCGGCTCACGCATGCACACACACAACGGGACACAAGCGCGTGCACAAAGATGGAGCGCCCCTTGCTGACGCTGGTGTCACTCAGGATCAGTCTGGCTCAGCGGGGTCAACAGGGGGACACTGGTGTAAAAATGATACAGAAGGTGGAGTGTGCCTGAATTTTAGCTCAGCAGATCGTGCGCAGTGTTTTGGCACCGTTTGGAGTTGATTTTCGAGGCAGGGAAACAAGACCAAAGCCATGTTTTTCAATATAGAACTAGATATATTCCTTCCTCCAGCCTATGCCCGCTGTCTGGTCTGATGCATAAGTGGCAGGGAGGGGTGTTAGCCAGGGCAAGGATGTGACCAGTTATGAGAGTCCAAGGGAGAACTGTAGCTTTTTCCGACAGGTCTGTCTGCAGATAATGGCCACCGTTTTGTGTGTGTAACCTGCTGCGTGGCACACAGCTCTCTGCAAACCCACCCCGCAAGCCAAGGAGTGGGATCTTATTCGTCTCACAAAACGGGGCAAAAGGTTTGGTTCTCTTGGATGGGGCAGGGGGTTCTTGGGACTTATGGTCCACGAGGGGGCCCTGATTTTGGAGGCCCCATTTAAGACTCCCAAGGAGCTTGATTTTCAGACCTGAGCAGCTACCTCTGCTGGTGACTTCCTTTGGTGTTGTGGAAGCCCTGCCCAAGCTGTCTCACATGGGGATCCCAAATACTGAGGAACCCCGTACCCATCACCGCTTTAGGAAACACTGGCCATGAGCTCTAAGCCCGTGGGGGGGCCGTTAATGGCTTCCTTACAGTACGTGTTGCAATTTACATGGCTAATTTCATTGTGTGTACGGCTTTTAAAAATTATAACAGTGCCTAGCGCTTGGGCTGTGATTTTGAGGGGCCTAAGGAAGTTGGGCGCTCTGCCCCCCCACCCCCTTGAAATCCCTCAGGAATCAAGGAGGAGATTTTCATAAGGGTCTAAATAGAGGAGCACAAGGCAGATTGACTTTGAAAATCCCAGACTAGGTTAGAAATCAATGGAGCAGATTTTCAAAGTTCAAAGGACGGTTAGATAGAATTTGACCTTCAATGGGAATCAGGTCCCTGTGATAGTTATAGGACCCCACATCACTGTAGTACCTGAGCAGCACCTCACAATCTTTAATATAGTGATCCTCACAACCCCCAACTCTCCGAGATAGAGTGCTATTATACAGAGGGGAAACTGAGGCAGACAAAGTGACTTGCCCAAGGTCACACAGGAAGCCAGCAGCAAATCATGGATTTGAACCCCAGGTCTCTTAACTGCCAGGCTAGCGTTCTAACCACATCCTTCCTCTTGAAGGGTAGGTGGACACCTAACTCCAAAGTGTGTCACTGGAAAGCGCCCTCAAAAATAAATGAGTATACTACTCTGACATCAGTACTGGGTGGACTACAGACAATGCTCTAGCATCAGGTGTGGGGCTCTGTAGATATGCAGTGCAGCTCCAACAACGGAAAGCAATTATAATAAGCACACACAGAGTTACACCACACACGCTATAAATGTATAAACCCTGAGTGATTCCACCAAAGCCATCCCAGCAGTAGCTAGTCTGGAGCGGAAGACCTTTGTCGGCTGCAGCCCGCCACTGACAGTTGCTACTTTTTGCTTCGTAGGTCAAAGATGAAAAAAACATCCAGGAAGTGTTTGACCTGAGCGACTATGAGAAATGCGAAGAGCTCAGGAAGTCCAAAAGCAGAAGCAAAAAGAACCACAGCAAGTTCACGCTAGCACACTCCAAACAGCCTGGAAACACGGTACAGCTTCCTACTCAGCTTGTGCTCACCTTCACCAAGAGATCAGGCTGTACTGACTATGGCAGCATGAGTCAACAGCCCAGTCCCCCCCTTTGTCTTTCTCCAAGATCTAGTGTCCCCGCCCACGCCCAAATTATTGGGTTGGGCACAGGAATCCCTGGGAGGAATTCTCTGGCCTGTGCCATGCAGAGGGTCAGCCTAGATCATCACAGTGGTCCCTTCTGGCTTTAAGACCTATGAACCTCCATCTGTTGGAGGCAGTAGATCCTGCAGTGTTGAGTGATGACTAGGAGTTTTTGCCATTGACTTGTAATGGCAGCAGAATCCAGCCTCTGGCCTCTCTAATTAAATAAGCCAATCATTTAGCTCCAGATCCTTGGAGTGGGATGTTGTGAAGGCCAAGACTATAACAGGGTTAAAAAAAGATCTAGATACATTCATGGAGGATAGGTCCATCAATGGCTATTAGCCAGGATGGGCAGGGATGGTGTCCATAGCCTATTTGCCAGAAGCTGGGAATGAGCGACAGGGGATGGATTACTTGATGATCACCTGTTCTGTTCATTCCCTCTGAAGCACCTGGAATTGCCCACTGTCGGAAGACAGGATACTGGGCTAGATGGACCTTTGGTGTGACCCAGTATGGCCCTTCTTATGTTCTTATGTAGTCTAAAGAAGGGACAGGCAAAGCATTTGGGATGGTCTCAACGTGGACCAGATCCTTCACCGGTAACCGAACCATTTAGCAAGACTGGAAACATTTCAGCTGTTAGTGGCAGTTGTGGATTGGCTGGTTGGATATGCTTCTTCCTGAGAAATAAAACAGACCCCCAGTCTAGTTCTCTGCTACCATAAATTGTGTGCTGGGTGGAGCTGCGCTGGCTTGTGTTAGCGGAGACTCCGGGCTTTGTGCATATTCCCACACCCTTTTCTTGGCGGCGTCACGGTGGCCGGGGACCAAGCCAACGCGTTGCCGCCCGGGCGCTGTGCACAGCATTGACATGAATTCCCTCTCTCCTAGGCACCAAATCTGATCTTCCTGGCCGTCAGTCCGGAAGAGAAAGAGTCCTGGATCAACGCCCTCAACTCCGCCATCACCCGAGCCAAAAACCGCATCTTAGACGAGGTGAGAAGTTCTCTCAGGGCCGGGCCCCAGCTTTGTTGTCTCAGCCTTAAGCTTGAGTGAAGCCTTCGGCTTCAGCTCTCCTGCCTCAGGTATGACTGCATAGCAGCCAGTCTCCCAGCCTGTGTAGGGGCTGTGGCTCGGGCTATGAAGTCTGGGGTGGGGGGTGGGCTTCAGAGCCTGAACCACGACTTAAAAGCACAGTCTGCACGACTATTTTTAGCACGGTAGCATGAGCCCTGTGATCCTGAATGTGTCAGCCCGGGCTGGGAAGCTGGCTGCTGCGAGCTGCCGCTGGCTGAGGAGACGAACCTGTCGTGGGGAAGGCCGCCCGCACTTCCCAGCCCAGCGCAAGCATGTCCCTCTTTCTCAGCCTCAAAACCAATGGTGCAAAGCCACTGGGCTCTGGCTAAGGGCAGTCGGCACGTGGTGGGATCGGCGTTTGCAACGCTGGCTCTGGTGGACCCTCTGTGACCATCTAGCTCGTAATAAGCCAGCAGTGATTACATGCCACGAGGCATGACTTCCATATGCCTCGGGCAACTCCTAGGTTATCTCCAGGGGCTATCTATCCTGGGAGAACAGCCTCCTGAGGCACAGCCCCATAAAGCACCCAGGGGGTCACCTGGAAAACAGATGAGATGCGAGGCCCATCTTGCCCTCACCAAAGTGCACAGGAATCCACGCTGTTGTCTGTCTTGTCTGTTTACACTGTGAGCTCCTTGGGGCAGGACTGTCTCTAGATAAGTGTCTGCGCAGGGCCTAGCTAATAGCCAAGGATGAATTTGGGCCTTGTATTTTTAACTACCCGGAGAGCAGCATCCCCCGCCCCATCCCTCCCACCTCCCCATGGCAAGTGTGATGCAAAGGGGTAAAGATGAGAATGAGGCCCTGAGCAAGGCCTTGCCTGCACCCAGAAGTTGCACCAGGTTAACTCAAGATGGTTTTTGAGCCAGTGAAAAGCCCTATGTGGATGCATGTCAGGGACCGAGGTGAGAATGGGTCATGCTTAGAGGTTAGAGCAGTGGCAGTTGGGCCTGGGGGTCAGTGCTGGAATCAGGAGTCAAGAGCAGGGTGGAAACAAGGTAAGAGTAGGGCTGGGAGCTGGGCTGGAGCAGGTTAAGGCCCATGAAGTCTGTCACCTCTCTCAGGCACGGGACAATTCCAAGCCACGAAGCTACGTTGGGCATACTGAGCTGCTCTGTCTCCCGTGAGGCTTATATACCTGCCCTGTGAGTCACCTGACCAGCTCCCAACTTAGGGATTGGCTGGAGCCTAACACCTCACAATGCACTTGTATCATTTTAAAGCTGGCTGTCTCTGTTCAGCTTGCGCTTGTAGGTGTGGCGTGCACACAGGTAACCAGACAGGCCAATCCAGCTGTTCACCAATGCTCTGTACGATAGCAGCAGGAGGACGAACTGTCGGGGCACAGGCCAGCATGGGGATATGATCTCACTCCTGTTAGAATATGGTCACTTCCAAAGTCGCTGCATTATTGTGAACTAAAGTGCGGGATGAACCAAAACAAGGCTGTTTGTGTGAGGATGCGAGGGAGTTTCTGCTGGAAAAAACAAAGATGTATTGTTCCAACTTCCCCATGCAAACAAGGCCTACATTTATCAACACAAGCAAAACTGATGCAAACAAGGTATAAATAGGTAGGAGTGTCCACACGCAAAGTGGCATCTGTTTAACTACATCAGCATAAAATTGCACCTTTTTTCTCAACTGGTGCAAGCAGCTCTCAATCTGGGAAAGCAGTGCTCTTGCATATGGTTTACCATGGCAGATATGGGGTCTGCAAGTCAAAGGAGGGCCACGAAATGGTTTAACAGCCTAGCAGATGGTTTTACACTAGCCTGTCCCTCTCCCAGAACTCAGATGTGATGCCCTGTGATCAATTCAGCCCACATTCACCTGTAATTCAAGTCTAGGGACTTCCCTGTTGTGAATTGTTTTACACGGAAGCTGGTCAGATACTACAGTGATGGGTGGCAGTATAAAAACCTAAGACAGATGATTAGATTCTCTTAATTCTCTTGCTTTTGACCCTACCAAAAGCTCTACCATTTAGTGCTCTGCAAATGCCTTTCAAGGACAGACAGCACATCACGTGAATCTTTGCCAGTGTCTGGAATGTTCGGATGAGTTACCGCCAGTGGAATTCTTTTGCCTCTCCCAAATAACTGATTCCAGTTCAAAGCAAGTTTTGAGTCAAATGGTGTTTGGCAAATGTTAGAGCTTTTGGGTTTCGCTGGTGCATTTCATAATGCAAAGCTGGATTTTCTTATTAGCTGGCATATTTGCCAGGGGTGACCTGCAAACTGTATGTTTGACTGTCGGATTTGCAGTTTGCAATTCAAACAATCTGCCGGCTGAGAGTTCCTCCCTGAAGAAATGAGCAAATTTTTCTGCACAGTGGCAACATTGGAAAGTGTTGCCATCAGCTCATGGACAGATCACAGACAGAAAGACAAAACTGGTTAAATAAATTATGCACCAGGAATTATCGACCCGGCTCCAGTTGCAGAGGCAGGGAGTGATGGCTTGTGGTTTGCATTTCTCAGGCACTGGGATGCTTGACGGCCTTTATTGTCATGCTTGTGTGTCCTTGCAGGTGACTGTTGAGGAGGACAGCTACCTCGCCCATCCGACCCGCGACAGAGCGAAAATCCAACACTCCAGACGGCCTCCGACACGGGGACACTTGATGGCTGTGGTACGTAAGCTAAACCCTGGGCACAAGTTCAGATAGGTCACCTCCGATGTTAGCAATCCCTTATACATTTATTTATTTTGAAATGGATGGAAGAAGGTACAGAGTCTTTTATCCCTGGGTTGAAATGCAACCCGGGTTGGTGAGGCCTGATGGCTGTCTCCTGGCCTGTGTGAAATGAAAAGGCATGTCTCATTCTAGTTCCGAGTACAGAAGTGCCTTACAGGTGGGAAACTGAGGCACAGGGTGGATTAAAAGACTTGCCCAAGGTCACAGGAGGCGGCTGTGTCTGAGCTGGGAACCGGACCCAGGTGTCCTGAGCCTCAGCCCCTAGACTCCCCCTGCTGATGGGCTCATTAGAAATGCACAGAGAGGTTGATTAGTGCCATTGTTGCTATGATGCTCAAAGTAATGGGTGGGCAGCCTCTTCGTCCATCTGCTCATGACTCCCGCCTTTCTCGCCACGCTCTGCAGGCATCTACCTCAACGTCGGATGGCATGCTGACACTGGACCTTATCCAAGAGGAAGACACCTCTCCAGAGGACCACGGGACCTGTGAAGAGAGCTTTCGGGTGGACCTGGATAAGTCTGTGGCACACCTCGCTGCCGGCCGGCGCCGGTCGGATTCGGAGAACGTCAAGTCCTTGGAGAAAGGCCGGACAGTGAGCCTGCCGAGACGGGAGGCGACCTCGTGGGACAAAACTGGGAAACGCAACGACGCCTTCGACAAAGGGACCATGTACACTCCGCAGGTCCCCAAAAAGCTCTCGCACTCGGAAAAGAACAAATGTGCCTCCATGGAGGAGATTTTGTCTCGCCGGGACTCTTCCGCGCACCGGGCGGTGCTGAGGAAGGGGCTGGAGGCTCAGTTTGCCTCGGGTGAGCCCGAGCAGCTGGCCCGGATACAGGAACTGGTTGCACTGAAACTAGAAAAAACTCAGGAACTGCTGACGGAGGTGAAGGGCTATGGGGAAGGGAAGCGAAAGACAAAAGATTTCGCCGCTGCCGCCACCACCACTTCTTCCTCTTCCAAGTCGGACTCTGAGAGCATCTTGCGGGAGACAGAGAGGTTGCTGGGTGAGGCCTCCTCCACCTGGAGCCAAGCCAAGAAGGTGTTACAGGAGATTAAAGAGCTGAGGGACCTGTACAAACAGTTAGAACTGCAACCGTTGGACCCTAAACCCAAACAGATCTCACAGTCTCAGTACAGGAAGAGCATGATGTGAAGGCACGCTTCAGGGTGGGATGGTGGTGATTTCTTTTTATTATTATTTACAGTGTTCGAAACAGTACAAGGTGCCTGTTCTCATCAAAACTTGCTCCTCAAGCTTGACCCCTTCCCCTCCCCAGATCTCCCCCCCTCCCCCCATCCCCAGATGAAACAAAAGGTGTTCAAATAAACCAGTTTGGATTCCTACTTTTTTTCAAAGTATCCTTTCTCTGCGTTCTTGGGCTGCTCGTGTCATGCTTGCAGGACGGAAGATCACCAAGACCTGGAAAGCTCCCGGCATACTTGTGGGGACATATGCACAGCAGCAGGGGTAGATATTCTCCCTCTATAGAAGCCCTGGGTTTGCTGCTCTGAACCCAGTGTCCTGCATTACAGCTCTTTGACCAAGAGCATTGGCAACATGGCGTACGTTTTTCCTCCTCTTTAAAAAGAATCAGCACGTGGAGGTCCCTGTTATCCAAAAACTGTCTGGAAGATGCTTGCCAGTGACATCCAAGCCGGGGTTGGAATTCCGTTGTCAGAACGAGGCGATTCCCAGCCTGGAATGCAGTCTGACGTGTCATGAGAGCATCGGGAGCTCCTTCCTGGACTGCAGTTAACAGGGCTCTTCCCTGGCATTGTTCCTGCACTGATCCCAAACCCTCTTTTGCAAACTCCTGTGGCAGGCAGCTGTTAATACATGTGGTACAAATACAGCCCTCTGTACAGAGGCAACAGGTATGCAATCTGTGTTAAAACTAACCCTGTCTGTCAGCCGATGCTTCGGAGACACCCTCTGGCCCGGTGCAATCAGATTTAGCAACCACAATGTCTTCCTTCTTGTGCAGATGATCAAGGCCTGGAGTCCAACGGGCCGTCATTATTTGTTTTTCATTGTTCTTTCCTTCATTTAGGCTGGAGTGAAATGGAAAGTCAGGGTTTGGCACAGAGGGCAACAGAAAAACTGAGAATTGCTGTTGGTTTAATGGGCCTGATGCTGCTCTCGCTCACACTCCATTTACACGATTGAGCCTCACACAATTGTCTCTTAGCTGACATTGATGTGAGGTCAGTATCAGGCCCACTGAAACTCAAATGGATCCCAAATTAGAGCTCAGATATCCTCGCCTCACTGATGTCTAGCACTTTTCTAAGTAGGTGGCTCAGCTTTCATGCACTTAAGCAGCAGGACAAGAGGGAAATATGCTAAGATTTCTCTCAGGGCTTAAAGTACACTGGCAAATTAACATCAGTTGTTTTTTCAAAGAAATCTAATTTCCTTGCCTATGTTGCAAAGAACCCCTGAGAATATTAAGAACAACTGAGTTTTAATGTCTAATTTCCTTTTCACTGTTTACATTTTGTGCCTCTCACATATTTGAAATGAGACTAGTTATGTTGAGGTCTGTGTCTGGTCAGTTTCACTCATATTGCCGGCTAAGGCTGTGATGTTTGGGTTGCAAACGCTGCAAGGAAATGTTGATCTGTGTTTTTTAAAAGCTCCCACCAGTTGGAATTAAATAACATTGGTGGAAATATTTCTATTGGCCTAAGCTTCTTTAACAGCTGGTTGTTTGCAAAGCTTAAATTTGGGGCCCAATTTCACCTCACAATGTCCTTTTAAGATATTCATATCTCTTTTCAAAACCTATCCTTCAAACGTCAGAAAAATCTCTGGCTCACTTCAGTTCTTATCACAAAGCCACACAGACATGCTGTCATGATAGAAATGGGGAGATTTGGCTTTTACAGAATTTACAAGAAGTATTCTTTTCTTGATTTGTTTTTTTAACATTTTGACCACTCAATGGGTGCATTTTTACAGTCTGTGGAATCAAATTTAATCCCTTAAAAAAAAAAGGAGAGATTTAAAAAAAAACCCTGACATGTAAGCCATTCTGACAGTGCCCTTCTATGTCATCTCTCTTTGATCCAGAAGGAAACAAGAAAAAAAATCTTCAAATAGTTTTCAGATATAATGTTAAGCATTAAAAATAACCCAGTTCTCAAAATAGAAAAGCTGTTTTAAAATCTAGAGGTTCTAATTACACTGGATTAGCATGGACATGTGTCATGAGTGGGGTTGAGATTCTAGGCACTTGAATAATATCAAAATGTATGTATGTAAAAACACTGATTGGGTTATACAGTTCTAGCAAGATGCCCAAAGTCTAAGGCGCATATGGGGGTCACTGAACACACCCAAGAAACCCACAGTTATGTAGAAACTTGCTCCTTAAAAATCTGTCTTGTGCAACCTGCCAAGGTAATGACAAAAACTGTTTGGTTAACAGGGGTGGTTATCTGACTATAGGGAAAACAAAACAGTCCTAGAGACTTGGCAGGTGTCTTGAATAGTCACCTAAGACAGGGGTGGATTTGTCCATTGGAGGTGGGGCTTGGTGCAAGTTTCACTCTATGGGAGTAATTACCCAGGGTTCCAGGCAGGTTTGTACAGTAGGTCTGCTACCTTGAAGCTAGCTTGGGTTTATCGACAAGAATGGTGGTACACCCTGTGGCTGCAGTGTAGACATACTCTGTATATTTATGGAGCTAAGGAGTTGCAGCACCTGGGCAGGAGACCACCTGTTGGTTTGGAAGCAGGTTTGTCCTACAACGAAAACTCACAGGTCACGTAGTTGTTGGAGCTGTGCAAAATTTTGCAACAGGTTCTCAGCTTGGGACCAGGTTTTGTTGAGCTTCACCAACCTTCCTGCTAACCTAGGGTGGACTTCTGAGCAAACGGGGGCGGGAAGAGTTATGGTTTGTAGAGGGAACCATTCCGGATGGATTTGCATGGTTTTGACGCCTGAATTGGGCAGTTGTGGGTTTGGTTCAGCCCAAAAGTCCTGTGATACAAACCCAGTGAAGTGAGTTCAAAAAAGAAACCATCACACTAGTGCCCCTGAAAACCAAAACAGACAAGTTTCATACAGCTCTAGCCACAGCATTTATGTCTGGACATCATGATTCTGCATCAGAACAGAGTCATGATGTGATGCTGTGAGATCACGGTCTCCTCCTCATGCCACGGTGACATTGATCTTACCCTGGAGCATCCCAAGAGGAAGGGATTCAAAAATCACCCAAACAAAAACTGGGATGAGCGGCAACTCAAAGGAATTGGAATCCTCCCCATCCAATCAAATTCCTAAAGTCCCCCCTGCCCGTGAGCTCAGAGCTCATGTTGGGGGTGGGAGGGAAAGAGGTACGGTGGGCCATCTCCCACTCCTTGTTTCTGTGCCTGGGTCATGAACATCACCAAGGTTTTCATGACCCTTCCGTGCCGTGGGCACCTCCAAAATGCCTACTGCAGCTGCTTCTGAGTGAAATTCTGGCCCCACTGACATCAGTGAAGCCAGGATTCCACCTTCTGATTTGAAGCAGAGCTAACTTTAAGATTTTAAGGGTCCCAACAAAGGGGTTATTTTTGAGGTGCTCATTCCCCTTCTATATCCCACCTCCATCTCTCCTTCTCCCTCCCTGGTCGATGAGCGTAGACAGCACTTGGCTTTTACAATCCCACGCTGTGGCACAAAGAGAGGCCCCAAAGCTGGCCAGGCCTGTCCCACTCCTTTGGCCTTTCCCTCACCCAGCAGCGTTGCCAGAGAATTTGGTAAGACTGCACGTTCACATTGTCATTCATTATTTGTAGAGCGGGCTGGAAATTTTCCAATGGAATGTTTTTCCTTTGGAAACCAAAACTTCCCATGAGAACATGTCAATTTTGATAAAATTTTGTTTCAGGGGGAAAAAAGTGAGGGGGGAAAACAAGAGTTTTGATGAGTTCGAAACATTTTGTTATGACATTTTCAGAATGGAACACGTCAGTATTTTAGTTTTGAAATTTATATTACAAAAATGTAAACTCATTTTAAAACGCCAACACTGAAACAAGAGAGACAAGGTGGGTGAGGTCCTATCTTTTATTGGACCAACTTCTGTTAGTGAGAGAGACAAGCTTTTGCGCTTACACGGAGCTCTAAAACATTTCAATTGGCCCCAAACCAAAACTTTTTCAGAAATGTCAGTTTCTGGAAAATTTTGAAATTCTTTGGTTTTGTTCTAGTTTGTAATTACGCAAATTTAGAGATCACTGAATTTCCTGCAAAACAGAAATTCCAATTCCCACACAGCTCTAGTCAGGTATCAGGACTCACTGTGTGAGATGTGGTACATTTTTATTGCTGGTAGGTCTATTACAGTAGCGCCTAAGAGTCCCAGTCATGGATCAAGTCCCATGGCGCTAGATGCTGTACAAACACAGAACAAAGAGACAGACCTTGCCCCCAACATGGGATATAATTCCCCCTCCATTCACTTGTAATCTCTTTTATTTTATTTTAAATTTCACCAAATTTTCCCCATTTGTCAATCCCTTTTGTGGGATTACAGAGAAAAGCCAAATACAAGAGAGAGTGGCATGTGTGCGGAAAACATGCCAATCAGTTTAGTACTGCTGTTACCTTCCTTTCCGAGCACATCTTTCTGAGTTAAAAACGGCATGAGGAATTGTGGTGGGGAAGGGAGATAATGTGTGGGAGGAATGTTCGTGAGGACTCGGGGTCTGCGTAGGGAGGAGGTGGGGTAAAGAGACCAAGGGTGTGATTCTCCATTCCTTTGCACTTTGTGCAGTCATTTGCGTCAGTGCAAAGAAGGTGCATTTTACACCCATTATGCACTGATACAAATGACTGAACAAGGGGCAGGGCAAACAGAGAACCTGGCCCCACATCCTGTGTGTCGTTGATTCATCTGATCTTTCACAGCAAGTTGCAATTTTTGGTTTTAAACCTTCTGTGCATCAAGAAACAAAAAATCGAGTCAGTTTCACTGATGCTCCATAGTCAGATCTTTTCAATCCAGCTGCGCATATTGGGAAGCAGCATGGCGTAGTGGATAGAGCATTGGACTGAGACTCAGGAGATCGGCATCCTACTCCCAGCTCTGCTGCTGGGTGAGCTTGGGCAAATCACTCTCTCCCTCAGTTTCCCCAGCTGTGAAATGGGGAGAAAGATACTGACCTTCTCTGTAAACCACTTGGAGATCTATGGATGAAAAGTGCTCTGTAAGAGCTAGATATTATGATGCGCTGACTAGCTGCTGTCTGGTTTATAAGGCACTGCACACTAGTGTGGAAAGTTTGTATTGGTATTAGGTTTTCTGGTTCTGGAGCAATTGCAAGGCCATTTTTTTCACTGTGTAGCTAAGGGACTGTCTGACCAAGGTTGCCAGTGGCAGCTCTGATGGCCCTCAGAGCAAGCCTGCATGCTCATTTCTCTGTTATACTGTATCCCATGCTCCTGAGGTCAAATTCCACTCCTGCCGTTCAGGCCGCATCAATGCCGTGGGCAAATTGAGGAACCAAGGGCTACAAAGAGCGTAGCTGCAGTGAATGGGTTTGCAACCGAAGGATTGTAACTCCCGAAAGACAAAGCCAGCAATCATCCAGGGAAGGGAATCATTCTCCTGTTCTCACTGACCTGCCACTGAAATCAGTTGGGGTATGTTGGGAGAATAGGGGACCTTAGAGTTTTTTTCCCCCACCTTCCTCTGTAGCATGGTTGTGATCATCCGGACATCTCAGCTAATCAATTCCCTCCCATTGCAGGAGCTTGGGATACTGGGGGCACCTCCCACTCGTTCTCTGGCTGTGGTGCAGTTTCATTTCCTGCAGACTGAAATGTTTTGGTCTAACTAAAATCTTTGGGCACAGCGCAAGGGTAACTGGGTGAAATGTGATATCCTGGAGGTCAAGCTAGATGATCGATCTGATGGTCCCTTCTGGCCGTCAACTCAAGGAGCCTATGAAATAGCGGGGTGAGGAAATAAGGCTTAAGCTCCCCTGCTCAAATGGCATTTTGTGACTCCCATGACCCAAAACATACAGTGAATAACACGGTGGCCATGGTTCCCCGATTCTCCATTGCCTGCACCATGTGTGATTCACCCCTGTGCCAAGTGGGCTATAATGCTACAGAATCAGAACACCAGTGTTTGCCCCCACTTTGCACTGGTCTAAATGGGGTGCAGGATGATTGGGAAAAAAATCAAGCTTGGGGGCTTCAAAGCTAGTTTTTCACTCAGTGCGGTCCGCCCATTTGTCGGCTCTGCGCTCAGCCAGCTGAGTCGAGCTCGTGTCTAGCTTGAGCTAAAAAGACAGAGCAGCAGGCTCAGCTTTAAAATTCCTCGGTGGCTTTATTTAATTAATTAACTTAGTTAAAGAAATGGGTCCGGAATTGCCCCTGGCACCAGGCAGCCACATATTTGTGGCTCTAATTGCCAGCAAATTTTCATTTAGACCGAGAAAAAGGGGTCATGAATAAAGCAGCATGGAAAACGCTACGTGAAGGGGTCTTTTATATCCTTGCTCCCCACCCACTAAGACCAAATCAAGGGGAGAATATGCCCAGAAGCCAATAACTTTTTTTTTTTTGCATGCCTCTTACTTAAATCTTTTGCTGCTGGCTCCTTGATTCTCACTGCACCTGCCCCAAAACCCAGTCACACTGCAATGAAATCATCGCTCTATATGGCAGGCATTGCTGGTTCCCCCAGCTGCGCCTCCTGGGCGTGGCAGGTGGAGGACACCTCGAATGGCACATTCAGGAGCTCAGCAGTTGTGTTCCACCTGTATGTACCTGGGGCATTCAGCACTGCGGGTGGGTTCTCCCTGAAAATAGCAAGATGGATAGGTATAGTCAAAGGGTTAAAAAGAAATGGGTAATCAATGTTTTTATCAAGTTTGATTTAAAAAACGAGATCCATTTTGCATAGAGCCCTTCGTGTCAAGCCTGAGCTGGCTGAAATGGCATAGCCCAAGAAGGAGAGCGCTTGACAGGAGTGCTACCAAAACACAGCAGATGCCTGTGGCTCCCACGAGCACAGCAGTGCAGCGACAGCAGGGGCCCTTTGGTTGACACTCCAGGGAGACAAGGCATCTGGAGGATTGGTTTGGAACTGGGTAAATGCAGCCCCTGAAAAATGTCACGCCCTGAGCACTGCACTTAGATCAACCTCACCCCCAGTGTAGACGCAGCGGTGTCGACAAAAGAATTCTGCCATCTGGTGAAATCCATGTCTTTTTGTGTATGTTTTTATGTTGGAAGAAAAAATTGCAGATGCTAAGATTGTTTTTGGCACAAAATTCAAGAAGTCTTGTGCCACGGTCTGTCATTGTTCCAGTTGTATGTGGACCGATGACTGTTTCCCAACCTCTTCTTTCACTTCCAATTTGGGCATTACAATCCCGTAACCAGGACAAGATCGTGGTTTGGTATTTCTTTCATTACATTGTTCAATTCTGCATAGAATCGCTCTTTCTCTTCTTCATGTGCATCGGATGTTGGAGCATATGCCTGGACTCTAATGTGCCGAGAGTGGAATCGAACTGCCAGTAGCTTATCTGATATTGGCTGCCAATTCATATGTGATTTCTTTGCAGCGCTATTCCTGATGATTTCTACACCTCCCTCATGTTCAGTTCCATCTGAATATAACATTGTTTTTTCTCCAGATGTTATCATACCTTCATCTTTCCATCTAACTTCACAAAGTCCTAGGTTGTCAATTTTATATCTATCCATTTATTTGATTACCTGTGCTACTTTTCCTGCACTATTCAGAGTTCGTACATTCCAGGTAGCTATGGATGTATTCTTTTTGGCCATCAGAATTTGGACCATCGAGTGGGTGACTTCCCGATGGATTTGATCATCCACTGTCATAATGCTTTCATAGAATCATAGAATCATAGAATATCAGGGTTGGAAGGGACCTCAGGAGGTCATTTAGTCCAACCCCCTGCCCAGAGCAGGACCAATCCCCAACTAAATCATCCCAGCCAGGGCTTTGTCAAGCCTGACCTTAAAAACTTCTAAGGAAGGGGATTCCACCACCTCCCTAGGTAACGCATTCCAGTGTTTCACCACTCTCCTCGTGAAAAAGTTTTTCCTAATATCCAACCTAAATCTCCCCCACTGCAACTTGAGACCATTACTCCTTGTCCTGTCATCTACTATCACTGAGAATAGTCTAGATCCATCCTCTTTGGATCCACCTTTCAGGTAGTTGAAAGCAGCTATCAAATCCCCCCTCATTCTTCTCTTCCGTAGACTAAACAATCCCAGTTCCCTCAGCCTCCCCTCATAAGTCATGTGTTCCAGACCCCTAATCATTTTTGTTACCCTTCGCTGGACTCTCTCCAATTTATCCACATCCTTCTTGTAGTGTGGGGCCCAAAACTGGACACAGTACTCCAGATGAGGCCTCACCAATGTCGAATAGAGGGGAACGATCAGGTCCCTCGATCTGCTGGCAGTGCCCCTACTTATACACCCCAAAATGCCATTGGCCTTCTTGGCAACAAGGGCACACTGTTGACTCATATCCAGCTTCTCGTCCACTGTCACCCCTAGGTCCTTCTCTGCAGAACGGCTGCCTAGCCATTCGGTCCGTAGTCTGTAGCGGTGCATTGGATTCTTCCGTCCTAAGTGCAGGACTCTGCACTTGTCCTTGTTGAACCTCATCAGATTTCTTTTGGCCCAATCCTCCAATTTGTCTAGGTCCCTCTGTATCCTATCCCTACCCTCCAGCATATCTACCACTCCTCCCAGTTTAGTGTCATCTGCAAACTTGCTGAGAGTGCAATCCACACCATTCTCCAGATCATTAATGAAGATATTGAACAAAACCGGCCCCAGGACCAACCTTGGGGCACTCCATTAGATACCGGCTGCCAACTAGACATGGAGCCATTGATCACTACCCGTTGAGCCCGACAATCTAGCCAACTTTCTACTCATCTTGTAGTGCATCCATCCAGCCCATACTTCTTTAACTTGCTGACAAGAATACTGTGGGAGACCGTGTCAAAAGCTTTGCTAAAGTCAAGGAACAACACGTCCACTGCTTTCCCCTCATCCACAGAGCCCGTTATCTCATCATAGAAGGCAATTAGATTAGTCAGGCATGACTTTCCCTTGGTGAATCCATGCTGACTGTTCCTGATCACTTTCTCTCGTCACTTTCCATCCTCCTCAGGCTGTGATTTTTGGTTTATGTGGTTTATGTGAGTAGTTTCTGTAGCTAGAACTTGGGGTTTTTTTACAGTGATGGGAAGCCGCCGCATCGACCAACCCTCCTCCTTTTTGATCTCAGTTTGGGACCCTCCTCCTTTTCGATTCTGGCTTGGGTCCGGCACTGGCGGAGTTGCATTATATTATATATAAAGAAAAAGTTGTTTCAGACTGAAATATTGAAATTTTTCATTCCGAACATGTCAAATCAGGATGTTTTGATATTGTCAGAACTTTTTCCCACCCTGTTTTTTCGCCCCCAAAACAAAATTCCAGCAAAATCGATCTAATTTTGCGGGAACCTCCTATTCCAATGGAATAGGGTTCTATCCAAATTTGTCATGACAAGGAATAGGCCGTCTGGCTGTTCATCTGTCTACATCTCCCCTCACTCTCTGCAGAGCTACTCTGTCTCACAGTTCCCCTTTGCAGTGAGGCAGCTACTGGTCACCAAACCACCCATTCCCCAGTTAGTCTCATTCTCTGCTCAAAGGTTAAAAAAACAAACCACCAGAGACCACGGTGCTGCTCAGCAATGAAAATCACCAGACCACGGTGCTTTCCTGTGCAGCACTGCTGGGAAGAGTGTTATGGCACAACAGTGACTCTCAAGCTCTGTTCTGTTGCAGCTCACTTCAAAATCTTATTTCCTAGCCTCCATTCCACCAGCGAGTTTGTTGGGTCCCGGGGAAAGGCATTAAGTGGGCAAGGCAGACTTAAAAGCTGGGACTGTTGCATGCATCTTGTTGCTACTGTCTAAGGGAATTGGTTTAGTAGCTAGGGGACTGGACTAGGAGTCTGCAACCTTAGTTCAATTCCTGGCTCTGGTGCTGCGTGACCTTGGGCTAGTCATGTCATTGCTGCGCCGCCATTCCCCTCCCCCACCCTGTGCAAAAAGATCACTGTAAACCTGACTTGCTTTGATAAAGAGTGTTGAGAACTGCTGTGCAGATCTAGGGATTACTGATGTATAGGACGGGAGGGCCTAGAGGCCCCAACCCAGATTGTGCCTGGTGCTGCTCAGACAGAGATAGTTCCTGCTCCAAAGAATCCATGGTGTGAACAGACAAGGGGTGAGAGGGGAAACTGAGGCACAGTGGGGTTTTACCACTACTGTTCAGTAGAAGTGTAGCTGGCATGGAAGTGAAAACACCAGGGGCCATATGAGCCATGTGTACACTAGTGCTGGCACCACCAATGCGAGAGCAACAATGGGAGATTTTTAAAAGACTAGTGTAGACGAGGCTCTATTGTGGTTTTGTATCTAGTGGGTTTTTACTGAGTTTAGTAATAAGTCAGACCTGGGTTTGTCTGAAACTTGTCCCCCAGGCTGGCTTGATACTCTGCCCTGATCTCGTCTGAAACCCAGCCCTGGGCTTGCTCAGAATATCTTAACTTCAACAAACCTGACTCAAGTTCAGGGCTCATAACAAAACCCAGAATCTGGGATGTCCTCACACAGCCGTGCTTGTGGGCCCTTAGAGAACTGCCTGTCCTTAAACCAGTTCTCTAGGAATGGTTCCAAACAGTTTTCCTGAATCTCCTACTCTGTGCTGTCTATCCTTTCATTTCAGAGAATTGCTCCCTGTATTCTTTTTTCAGGGAAATATTTCTCACCACCACCCCCCCCCCCGATATACACACTCCTAAACACTCACGTCCCTCCAAAAAAGTCCCTCTTAAACCCAGTGGAGTACAGATACATCCCTATTTTGGCCTCTCCAAATGTCTCTGTCTAGTGGGAATGAACAAACACAAATACCACACAGGCAGTAAACAAGATGCCAACTTTTCTCCTTCCTCTGCCAGCAGACTGGGCCCCCCGATTCTTGCAGGCTCCTATTCCTAGCAACGTTGGTGGAGGATTATCTATTTATTTTTTTTTAACTCTCTCAGTAGTAAGTTGGACACTGCCGGTCCAGGTAGGCGCTAAACCCCTAAGTGATTAGTTTAGCTTTCCGCCCACATGCCCCTCCTCCCCTGCTAAACTGACATTGAATTTCAATTTGCAAGCTGGGAAATAAGTGATGGTCCCATTCCCCCTCCCAGTAAACACTGACGGGCTCTCCAGAGGACTGGGAGATGGTTGTAGCTGAACCACAGGAAACCGCAGTGAAACAAAAGGCTGCTGGAGGAACAGAACACAGGGACGAGGATGATTATGACACAAATGGGGTGGGGGAACTGCAGCGGGGTGAAGAGAGAAGAGCTGTTGGAGACGGCAATAGGACTCTTTAAAAGCAATAAAATGAGACTATAAATAAGCGCCAGAGCCTGAGGAGAAGTGGGATAATCTCTGGGCAGGGGGCACATGGATCTCTCCCAAGCTGGTTAGAGAAGGGAAGAGAGAGCGAAGGT